TATAAACATAAAAAACATAAAATAAGAATAATATAATAATATATAGATAATAAGAAGAATACAATGATATAAATAATATAAACAGAGAAATAAATATAAAAATACGATAGATAAATAACATATAAATAAAAGAATATGAATAATAAAAATAAATATGAATAATCAAATCATTTATTTCATTAATATTTTATACAAAATGAATATAAATGATTATAAAATATAAATATAAATATTTACATCTTCTGTATTTATCATATTTTTTATTTTTATTTAGGAGCAAAATATAATAAATGGAAAATTCTAATGATTCAAAATATTTTGCATCTTTTTTCATTTTTGTAATTTATTTAGATGCATTATTTCTTTGCTAATTTTCGTGCCCAATTTTAATCATATAAATTGAAATTGATATTTTTATAGAATTGTGTGAAAGAAATGGAATGAAGAAAAATACTAAAACAACTATTTTAATGAAGGATTAATAAAAAATAATCATAACAAAATCAAAATATAGAGGATTGAATTAATTGAAATAATATTTATACAGAATTTATTTTAATTGGTATATAATAAATAACGTAATAATAATTGATTTATTAATAATTATTTATAAACATATTATATATTATATATTTATTTTAATTAATAATAGGGTATATGAATTCTAATAGAAATAATCATTTAATAATGTTATTCAAATTAATTAAAATATATTTTTTTATTAATGAATTATAATTATTGTTTTATTCATTTATTCATTCTTGTTTTATTTATTTAATTTCTTATTATATTCATTTTGTATTACTCCTTCATTTCATTCTTTATTATTTTTCTTTCTTATTGGTTTGTTTATTATTTTTATCTTCTGCTCTTTATTTCTTTATTTCCATTTCTTATTATTTTATTATAATTAAAAATATTATCTATTAGAAATATCATTAATTACTATTACCCTTATTGTTAATGAGTTTTTTATTTATTTTATTATGTTTATTTCTGTTATCATATTTACTTCTAACTTATTCATATAATTTTATTTATACATGTGTGTAGTTTTCTAGTTTAATGACTAAATTAATTATTTCATGATTTTATTATTTATTATGTATATATCCTTTTTTATTTATAATTCTTTTATATAATATCCTTATAGACTTATCTACTTATTCGTTGTTATTATCTCTTATTATGTAATATTATTATTACATTATTTTTCTATTCATTTTTCTTGTTATCTTTTTATATTATTTATTTCATTTTATTTATTATTAGAATGTAATCATTGTTTTGTAATTTATCATATTCTTTTACTTCTTCTATTTTATTATCTTTCTGTTAATTCTTTATTATCCTTATTCTGTATTTCTATTAGTTTCATTTTCTTTATTTTCTATTTCTTATTATTTTTTATACCCTATTTCTGCTTGTTGTTTTGACTTCTTTTCAACTTTCTTATACGATCACTTAACCCACTTATTATTTGTTATGTCTTTATTCTTTATATTTGTTTTATATTCAAAACTATCATTCTTTTCTAATATAATGTTTGTTTCTATGTTTTATTGGTGTTAAATCTCTTTACACATTCTTTGATTTTGTATTGTCATACTTCAAATATATTTTGTTTGTATAATATTATTCATTATTTATTTTAAGTTTATGATATTATGTGTATTTCTTAATGACAACTTATTGTGTTGTTTTACATTCATTTCATATACCAATTTATTGTCATTCAAAATATTTTAACACTCTTATATTTGTTTTATTGCTTGACATTATTAGTAACTTCTAATAATAATTATAGAACATTATTATTTTCTAGAGATGATGTTTTCTGTATTGTGTGGTTTGATTCTTTTATCGTTCATGAGTTTAGATTTAATAAAAAGACTATTCTTTTATTAAATAATTACATTCTATAATTTTAAAATTGTTTGTTGTGTATGTTAGTGAATATACTAATATTAATATTAATAAAATGAATTAATATTCATAGTTCTATATTATTTTTATGATATAATGAATTGTTGAATGATAATAAATAAATCAAATTGAAATATTAAACCATTCTAAATTGCATCATTTTATAAATACACTTAGTAATATATTTTGATAAATAATTAATATATTTATTTCATTAGAATATGATGTATTAGTCAATAAAAATATTTTATGATTTAAACTCAATACACTGTTGTTGATATTTCCATAAAATTTATTCTTTAATAATAAATAATCAGTTTCTAATTATTTGCATTAAGGCTTGTATATTTTAACTAATATATAAATATTAAAAGGTATTTGAAGTAAAATATATTTTGTCTCTCTTTATGTTTCATTCTTATTCATTATGTTTAAAGAAAATATAAAGATTATATTAAACAAATTAATTAGAACATACCAATTGAAATAATAAGAGCAAGACTAAGAATCATACTTGTTGAACCATCAGGATTATTATGTTTGTTAGAATCTTCATCTGTTTCATCACTTCTTTTACTATCTGAACTACTACTATTTGTAGTATTATTTTCTTTTACTTTTTCTGTTTCTTCTTTTTCTTCCTTTTGTTTGCTATCTTTTGTTTTTTGTTTCTCTTCTTCCTCTTGCTTGTTATTGTTTGATGCTTCTGTTTTCTTTTCTTCTTTTGTTTCTTTTCCTTTTCCGTCACTCTCTTGTTTATGCGTTTCATCCGTATCTTTTGTTTGTGCTTGATTGGTATTATCTGAAGAATTGGCTTTCTTTTCTTCAGGTTGATTTGGATTTTTGTTAGTTGATTGCTCTATTCCTTTTTCATTTGTCTTTCCTTCTTTTTCATTTTCATTGTTTTGTGTACCATCACTAACTTCTTCTTTCTTTTGCTTCTCATTAATATTCTCCTTTTGTTGTTTACTATTTTCATCTTTTTGAGTTTCTTCCTTATGCCCTTCATCAACTTCTTTTCCTTTTTGGTTTTCTTGGTTTTCTTTCTGTTTGTTTATATCTTCATTTTGTCCTTCTCCTGAATTTTTCTTCTTTTCTCCTTCTTGACTTTTTCCTTTCTCACTCTCTTCTTGATTTTTATCATTACCACCTTTCTCTATCTTTTGTTCTGTTGTTTCTTGCTGTTTCTTTTCTGTTTCCTCTCCAGTTGAGTGTATTTCATTTTGTGTTTGTTCTTTCTGCTCTTTACCTTCATGTTCATTTTTAGTTCCTTTATCTTTACTTTCTTGTTTGTCTTGTACTTTTTCTTCTCCTTCTCCACTTATTCCTTGTATTTCTTTACTTCCTGTTGCTTTACTTTGTTTTTCTTGTACTGCTTTTTCTTTATTATTCTTTTCTTCAACTACTCCTGTTATTCCTTTCTCTTCTTTTCTTATTATTTCTTTTGCTTCTTCATTTTCTCCTTTTAATTGTATATCATATAGATTAAACATTCTTTTGTGTTGTTTTGATTGTATTTGTGTGTGTATTACTTTTTTATTTCTTTCTTCTTTATTGTTAATACTTTCTGTTGCATTAGTAATTACAATAATCAATAGAAATATAAACATTGAATGAAATGTATATAAGTTTTTCTCTTTAAATATACTCTCTTCTTTTTCTATTATTATCTTTTATTTTCTTTTTATTTCATAATGGCTCATTTATTTCATTCTTCATTTCATTATATTGATGTATTGATGTATTTTGAACTTCAATAATAAATAGAATGAAATGAAATATTAAATTAAAATTCATTTTTGTAATTTAATCAACAAAAACGAATAAACATTAAATTTAATAAATAAATCATAAAGAATGAAAACAATAATAAAATAAAATGAATAATAATTTCAATTCATAATTCAAATCATTATTATTTTAAGAATATATTCATCATTTATTTATTATTCATTTTAATTTGTTTCTTATTCTAATTTTATCATAAAATGATTCAAATGAATAAAACAAGAATATGAATAAATAGAAATAACATGAACAAATAATTATTTAGTCTTATTAGAATTTATTATTTGATGAATATATTAATTATTATCAACATTTTTGTATTAAACTCAAATACATAATTTGTTGATATTATTTTATTTTGTAAGTCTATTTATTTGTTTATTGTTTTTATTATATTTGTTTATATTATTTATGAAATATAAATATTTTAATTATTATCATTTATTCTTTATTTTCATTATATTTATTTTGTTTTTCATTATATTTTATTAATATTAACTAATCTAGTGTCTGTTTAATTTGTTTATTATTTCATTTTATCTTATTCATTATCATTTCTTCTATTTCGTTATGTTTCATTAAAATAACAATTAATGACTCTTATTCATTTTGTTTATTTGATTCATTTCAATTTTATCATTTATGAATTTATTTGATTCTCCATTTTCTAACTATGTTTTATTTATTCATTGTTTATTGTTTTTATATGTTAATTCATTCTTATTCACTTTTTGTTGATTTATTCAATAATAATGTAAATTAAATTGTTTATAATAAATTGATATAATTACACTGACTAACAGTGATTTAATGATTCATGACAATGATAAAAATGAAAAAAAAATATTCAATATAAAATAGTAGTACTTTCATTTAGTTTGATGATTTTAATAAAGAATAAAATATAATAGAAATAAAATGATGAAGATATTAAAACAAACAATGAATATCATAGTAAAAATAGTATTTTATCTGTTTCTATTAGAGTGTTACTTTCATTGTTTTACATATTATTCATTTCTTCTTTCTCTTCTAATTGTTGTATTATTCATATTCTTTATTTTTCATATGAAACTATTTTATTTAACTTAATTTATCTTATAAAATTAACATCAATTTGTTATTGTTTATTAAACATTGAATATATTCATTTATATTTATCAAATGGCAAATATCACATTCATTCTCATTCATATCTGTTATCTTTACGAACATTTATATTGATAATGTCAAATGATACTGATTTATTCATCAATTAATTCATAGAAATGTGTAATTCTTTCAATCAATAATTGTCACTACATTATGTATTTATATGAATATATCAATTAATTATAATATTTCATTCTTCATTATATTCTATTAAAAATACAGATATATTAAGAAATTGAATGACACATTGTTTATTTACACTTTGATAATTAAATAAAATAATTTAACTCAAGAATATTCAATACAAACACAT